TGGCTTGGTAGCAAATTATTTAAAAAAATAACCCACAAAAAAACCAAAACAGATAATTGGGAATTATGTACTGAAATTGATTCTGTAGGTTAGTTCAATAATATATTTTTAATTCTTATGAAATGAGAGTCCAAGATACTCAGTTTTGTTTCTCAGAATCTCACCATTTCCCTTACTTGCCAATATATTTTAGTTTGTTAGCCTTATCTTCCTTGTGCACTCGTACTCCTCTTCTGTGATTTCCTTTTCAAATGCACTCATCCAAAAGTTAACCCAAAAAAACCTATCTTTGAAGTATCCCTCTAATATCCTTGCCCAGTCAAAATTCTCATTTTTCTTCTGAAGTCCACTATGTTCTATGCCTTTTAACATTCAGTTAATTCATCTTATATTACTTTGTAATTGGTTTCGGAGAGTTGAAATATAACCTAAACTTATCTAAATGTGTGAACTGTAGTATCTTTTCCATTTGCTCAGAGTGGTAACCAATACATATTTAAGGAATCAAACACATGGTTTCATAAGGAATAAGTGTTATCTGTACAGAAATAATTTATTTAACAGCAGAAGCAAAAGGTAATTTGAAGATAGGAAAACCTTAAAAAGTTTAGAAACTTGGGAGTTTACAACCAAGCTTTGCAGTCTTGACACAATATTTCTAAGAGCAGCCAGAGTCCTCCTTAGAGGCAAGGATGGTGAGACTTCACCTCACATTATTTTGGGCATGTTGCTAGGAGGGGCTATTCCTTGGAGAGGGCCATGATATTAGGAAAGGTGGAGGGTCAGTGAAGGAGAGGAAGACTCTCAACCAGGTGGATTGACAAAGGTGACTGCTGCAAAGGGCTCTTGTGTGTTGGGCAGTGTAAGTGGCATGGGATAGAAGTTTTGTGTTTAGGGTCGCTATGGGTCCTACTCAACTCAATGGCACCTAACAACAATAGTAGCATACGATATATCTTAGTTTTCTAAATCTTTTCAAGTATTAGCTTTAAAATATATCATTTGTTTTGCAAAATAGATTTTGAAAATGAAAAAGAAAATTAACTTTATAAATATGTATATGTGTCTGTGTGTATATGTATCTCTACATATATATCCATATACATGTATAAAATATAAAAAGTTATGCTGTGAATCCATACAGGGATGCAGTTAAAATTTAGCAGCTGCTCTGTGGGAAAAAGATAGATGACCTCTTCCCCTGGGATTTACAGTGTCTGGTAAGTTGCTAGAGGGCTCCACTAACAACTCAAAGTCAAAGGCACATAACATATATAGTATATATTTACTAATAGTTTTCAACATGGTGGTGTCGTTTTCACTGTATTTTAGTGAATAATCATTTTTTCAATATAAAATAAATAATATTATTTTTATCAATAGAATGTGCCAATTACTTTATATAAACCTCAGTAGAGTATACAATTTTACATCTATATTTATAATTTTATTAAGGTACCTTTCTTTAGCATCATTTTCTTGAAAATGAACTTTAAATCCTTTAATTTCTTGAAAGTTTTAATGATGAATGGTTTAATTTTCTTTATATTATATTCTATTCCATTCATAAAATCTACAATGGAAGTTACACTGAGCCATTTACAGAGCATAAACTAGGAGTTCTGTTCTAGGTGTATAAAACTGGAAATAGTTAGAAAAGAAGTTTCAAATATTTACTGCAAGAAAATCTTACATAATTTTTTGCTTTAGCTTAGAAAACAATTCCAAATAAAGATTTTCAGAATATTTGAGGGTAAAAAAATGCATGTGTTTGTGAAAGTAAATTAATGCAGACTTTAATAATAAGGAAACATCCTGTATGCTATGTTACATGCATTTTTTTTTCTTAAGACATTTCATGACATGCTTATTACTATTAGGCACATATCTGGAGATAATGAAAGTAAAGGTCTCTAATGACCAAACTGTACTACTACTACTACTACTAATAATAATAACAACTACTTCATTGAAATATTATTTAGCCACAAAAAGGTAATTGCAAATGTTTTAGGATTAATTAAAATATTATAATAATGTGATGAAGTGACAATTTATTAAAAAATTATCCTTTTATTTAAGAAAATGTTTTATTCTACTTTCTAAATGAACGTGATTAATCTTCAAAGATATCCAAACAAAATGCTGGCTTTTAAAAATATTTTCCTTTTCCACTGAAAGTATATTAAATACCCAAGTAAAACCTGAAAGGCCAGATGTTTGGCAAATGCTACTCACAAAAGAACCATCTATCATTTATTACTCCCACTTGGTAATTCTCTCAGGAGATGCATCATGTAGTTTGATTATCTGTATTGAAAACGCTGTCCTCATTCTTGCTAGTTGCAGTAGCTAGTTCACTAATTTTATAGAGACAAAGAGGATGTTACAAAGGTTTTCTTGGCAGTACGTTTGTAGAGTATTATGTTTTCAGTAAAGCAAATGTAAGCTTTTTTTGTTTGCACGAAGAGTAAACTTTACACCAAAATCACTTTCTAGAGAGCTATTTTGTTGTTCTTGTTAGTTGTTGAATAATAATTTAGGATCTTAGGGTTAAAACAAAGATATTATATTAGAATAAAGTATTATTTTGAGGAATAAATCACTCTGTTGTGTTTCAATTTTTCTTAGGTGAAAGCAGGGAATACCAGAAGAATGTCTGTGTTTCATTGATTATGCAAAGGCGTTTGGCTG